TCGGAAATGATAAAGGCATGAACCTGAATTGGGATAAAGTCAGATTTTATTCGAATCAAGAAGAACTGAATATGAAACAATTCTTATGACTAGGTACCTTTGCAAGGCGTGCTCGCTTAATGAGGTCATTCAATTTACGAAGTGCTGCGTTACGTGGCAGTGCTTGAAGGTCTTGGAATAAATCGTGCTGTTCGTCTTGGAACAGGCGTCTATAATGAAAACGAAAATCAACTAGATTTCGATTTCCAAAATATTAAAATAAAATTTCAAAAAAAAATGCAAGTTAACGTAATCGAACCTGTTGATATCATAGTGAAGTGGATGATCCCAAAATGTGCCGATATAGACTCGTGACACTTCAGGAGTTTTGAAAACTTTTCCTAGAGACCACATTAAGGCACCATATACGCGCATCAATTGTTGGTGATCAACCATGTCGGATTTGTTAAGAACAATGCGAATCTTGTCTTCATTTCCTAAAGGAAATATATTTAACAAGACAAATACTCCACTTCTTGAATCTTGACAGCCCCGAATATGGTTAGCGATAACAGAATGTAATTTTAGAGAAGAAAGAACACGATAAAATTTTGAAAACTTATGCTACTAATCAAGGAAGACTTCTCCTTGGCAAAATAAGCTTCTGATGCATTATGAGTAACCTCAAAAAAATTATCCCCAGGTGCAGCTTATAATAAAAAAACAAAGTAGGGTAAGTTTACCACCGCAGCGAAACAAACATCGGTAAATTCAGGCCACGAAATGACAATTGACAATAATCTTAACCGAATAACCAAATGGCAGCATTTCTTTAATTAACTTTTCGCGCACTACTGCTATGCATGGTCATAGCTACTCGATAATCATGTTCTCTCAAATGGAAAACTAGGCAAATTCCACTTTCACTTAAACAATGCGCAATGAACTCGATTAATTCATCAAGCTATTATCATCTTGTGAGCACTTCGCTTGGGCTTAGATTTATAATAAAATCACAAATATATAATAAATTTTAACAAGATTACAAAAAGCAGATGGGTAAGTTCCTCAAATGCCGGTTTAAATGGACTTCTATGAGAAAAAGTACTCACCACTAAGTGCTTCAATACATCGTTTAAACTCGTCAGAAATATCCAGTTTGTGTGCGTCGAACAGAAGAATGATGCGATCCACACGTTCTGCGAACCACTCCAAAACTCCGGTAAAGTCGTAGCCTCGATCAATTCTAAAGGAGATATTCCAAAATTCAAAAAATTCCAGAATGAGCACCACAAAGCAACACATCTTGAACAGCTGCTGCAGACATGCACATAAGTGGACATGTTCTACTACTTGACGCTATAAAACTGCTGCGTAGGGTATCTATTGTATGTTAGGATAGCACAATAACCTACACTCAACATGAGAGGAAAAGTGGACAAACGAGAGGATTCGACGATACAAAAAGAGGATAAAGTTAGCTGAAAAAAAAGAAAACAAAGCAGTAAAGATACATCGCAGCACACTGCACTTTACCCGCGAATATATCGCCGAGCATACGGTGACTTCGGTGCGTCGGGACTTGAAAACGAAAAAATAGAGCCAAGATCTTGATCGAGTATGAGAGTTGGGAAAGAAATTAAAACTATGCAATCACCAAATAAGGAGGAACCAGTGCACACAATGAGGCGGTAGGGAAAGTACATGCGCTTGACTTGACTGCACTAAGAGAGAAAAGCTCCCAACGACACTGAGAAACAACTGAAAATGGCAAAGGAAAACAACTCAAACCGCTCTGAAAGCAGCTTTGGCAGTCATAGCAGATTAGTTAGGAGAAAAATTAATGAACCCATTGTATACAACTGATTCCTATTACTTTTCGTAAATTATTTGCTAAAGGAAAATATTACGTGGATAGAATTAAGAAATACACACTCGTAGTAGTCAGAGTCTCCCCTAAATTCTACCCCCTTCACTTGGGAAGTGTCTTGACAAAGTATCTAAAGCTCACCTTTGCTTCTCTCCAGAAAGAATACCAGGCGTGTCCACAATGGTTACGCTCTCAAGGACTTGATTGTTCAGCGTTGAGCATTGAAAACGATTCAGAAATGCATTACCGAATCTAAAGAAAAACGATGAAATCAAAAACACCCACAATCCATTCAGAAATGATTAACTTTCAAATGTGAAAAGGTCGCTACACTGCCAAACTTCTTCGCTAACCGACTTATGAAAGGAACCATTAACGGAAAGAACAGACTTTATTTTGCAATTGTGCAAATGCACATTACATACATTGTCTAGAAAAAACATATGCTAAGTTTTGACCACAGCGCCTGGCTGACAGAAGTTACGCACCGAACAGACTCCTGCACTCTCTAAATGTGATACAATGCTACTCAGCAATGGGAAGAAATGTTTCATCACAAAATTGTTTTTGGGGGTTCTTCAGCGGTCTTCTAGTAATGCAGCACGCTTGTAAACCAACGACGCTATTAGCCTCCCAGTCAAATACTGCTTCAGTTCATCACACACCTGCCAGAAAAATGTCCGCAAATCTTTTGCTGAACTTCATCTCATTACGAAGCAAATTTATCTATACCAAATCAGTATTGTGGTTGAAATGATAGAAATTGGAACAGTAATAGTAGTGTAAAAGATACCTGGATACGAACACAAAAAGAATTCCAAAATTTTACAAACAATGTAACAAATGAATATACAAAAATTATGACTAAAATTGAATCTTAAATATGATTCAGTGCCATAAGTTTGATGACCACCCCAAAAAGATAACAAATACTCTGCTGAATTGAGCAAAAACAGAACAATAAAAGCTTGAAATAGCTGATAAAGAGGAAATTTGATTCCTCAAAACTTTGGAGTGGACTTGAAAAAATGGCTATTTCGCTCGCTACTCAAAATCTTTTCTTAAACACACTACTCACAAAATCTCAGTCCACATTCAAACAAGTAGAAGCGAATTGCTATCCGGTGACTAACTAACGTACTTTCCCTTTCACGTCACGTCGGAAATCAAAATCAATAGCCACAGTTTTTTCATCAGTTCCCAAAAACTGATCCATCATTCATACCGTAAAAGGAAAAGAATTAAACGGACACACCCGCTAAGCGCTCTGAACTGCTTCTTTGCGTCAACTACGAGCGCATTTCCCGGTACAACGCCTTCCTCTTCTCCATGCATTACCGCTATGAATCGATCGGTAGTTGGTTCTGGGCCAATGCGAATTCCAGGGAAATCCTGAAGTTGAGATTTGCATGTTTACCACTGTGACATTAGTAAAAGCTAAAGCTAAACAGTCGCAAGAAATAAAAAAAAAACACCAGTACAAAATAAGTAAATCTACAAATGAGTAATGCGGCTTACCTGTTCAAGTAGGTATCTGATGAATGTCGTTTTGCCAGTGGAGTACTGTCCCACAAGAAGGATCATGGGCTTCGCATCGAAATCGGGATCGTCTGAAATTTGAGATGCAATTCCAATAGATAGAGTAATGATGCCATAGTAAACAAACACTAGAAGATGCTAAACGCTAACCCAAAGCTGGTGAATGGAATTCATGGAACTTGTAGTACTCCTCAAGTGGGTACAATTTTTGCTTGTAAATTTTTCGAAGTCCCTCACTGACCGAGTCCAGAACCTGCAAAAATCATCAAAAAGTAAATGGATTTCGACAAAAACCACAATTTTTTGTTAGAAAAAACATAGACGAATTGTTAAAATTGTTAGAAACATATACACATCAAGCGCATACCAAACCCACATCTTTGTTCTTCTTTTTTGAAGAATCACCTCCTAGCCAGCTGAACATGCTTCTTGGCTTTCTCTTTTGTTCCCCGAAGTCTTCTGAAAATACGCAAAACAGATATTGTGTAGTAAAGATAGAATATTTGTTTTTACATGTTACACAACACGTATAAGCAATGTATCACAACAGACAGCTGTCATAGGGAAGGATGCACGTGGCAGTGATTTTTTTAATAAAGACAAGGGAAACTAAGTTATCCAGAAAAGGCAGGAGTCAGAAAAGCGTAACATGATTTAAGTCAGAAATGATCTAAACGAGTTGTGTTCACCTCAATACAGAGTCGAACTTATTGAAAGCGAGGAAGTCAAACGTGGGCGTCAATCATTACAACTGCACTTGATCTTAATGGAAAACTTGCAGGTTTTCCGTAATCCAAGGGTTGAACAAGAAAAGATAATTGCAACGCCGGCAAGCTGAACAAGTGCCACGTGCAAAACTTGCAGAGAAAATGATGATGAACGCTGAACCTCAAAAAGGTCTTTCAAGTGAATACTTACTAATAAGATTCACGTTAAAAAAATTAGTTCAACATGGCATAATGAGAAGTTGGATATAAGGTCA